GACTAGGGGTCTCCATGTGCTGAAACCTAAGGTGCAGAGAGACATACAAAGAAAACAGTTCATCTTTGGTTTCAATTAAACACATAACGTTAGGACTCGTGGGACGGTCTATCTTCACATGTGAATACAACTGTATTTATAATCCCTCTTTCCCAGGGGTTCCCCCCCAAAAAAGTTAAGAGCATGCACAGGAGCTAAAAGCATCCCCGGTACCTAGTTTGTGGTCTTTAAATCCCATTTTCCATTAAAAGAAGCCAGGCAGCTGCTCAGAGAAACAGCTGATGCTCAGCCCGAGGCAGAGGCAGCACTGGCTGAACGCAGGGATCATGGCATGGCGGAGACCATGAAAGAATTCAGGGTAGTGTCCCACAGTGGACAGTCCCACAGATGGACAAAGAAGATGCCAGGAGACAAGGTGCCTCCTGATGGGGAAGCGGGGGGCCACCGGGGCTCTTGCCATAGGGACCAACTGCAATCTGGCAGGGTCTTTGGGAGAAGCAGGGACCACTGGAACCTGAGCCATAAACATGCAGCAAGCCAAGGCCAGCATGGGACGCTGGCCCGAGCAGACCACAAGGCAGGGCTATCATGGAGGGTGGGTGGTAGGAGCACCACGTTTGGAGATGGAGAAAAGAACAGGAGACAACGCACTTAAGAGCACGCATGACCAAAACCCCACTGGGGTTTGAACCTGAGTATTAAATCTTGTGGCTTGGTACATCTTAGGCTGAGAGGCAGGCACCCTGGAATGGGGGTGTTCCAGACACAGGTCACAACTCAAGCAAGGCAAGGAGGCAGAAATGGGGTGTGACACCCAGGGGTCACTTGCAGAGACCGAAAGGAAATCAATCTAGGAAGCATGGGTTGAGGGCCCTCAGTGTAAGTCTCTTCCTGTCAGGACAAGATGTTTGTTCTTAGGCCAAAGAGAAAAGGTCAGTGTGTCCGACCACGGACTGGCGCTGAGATCTTCACCCCAGGGGTCACATGGCGCTCCAATCCCTCCCTCTTCCCTGACAGAACTCTGATTTGGGGCATTTATCCATCCTGCGGGGTTCCACATCTACACGAGTCCTGAAGCTGCAGCCCTCATCTTGGCACAGTGCAGAAATTTACCCCGGGGAGAACAGGCCCGGTATGGTGGAGCCAAAGACGACAGAAGACGACTATCAGATGGTACTGGCTGAGCCCCTGAATTAATTCCTTCCACAGCCACCCTTCAGCCGGGTTCTTATGTGAAGTAATAAATCTCCTTATCATTTGAACGAGCTGCGCCTCCCATTAATTACAGCTACAAGCAGCCAAAATTATGCGCGGGGCTTCTAGGGGAGATAATCTAAAGACCCGCCAAGCACTTAGAAGTGATACCGCAGGAAATAAAACTACCTCTAAACAGTTGCTGCACCCTCAGGTCCAGAAGATACATGGCTCTGGGGTTACCCCAATAGTCTCCTGGTTCTACAGATGAACACGGGGTCCCCACAGCTGCCTTAACTTCACCTCTCAATCACACAAATCTACCTGCTGCCAGGCTCTAAGGGGAGCTGATCCCAGGGAAGGGAGAGAAAAATGAAAAGAAAATACAATTTAACAGTAGTCTGCAGAGACCACCAGGTGAGCGAGATTGATTCCACGAAATCTCCATTTGTCTCCCTGGAGTCTTTTCACGACATCCTATGCTTGGGGTTCCAGGAAAGCAACGCTGTTCACATGGTGTGTGTGTGTGTGTGTGTGTGTGTGTGTGTGTGTGTGTGCATGTTCAAGAAAGACATTCCTGAGGCTGGGTTCCAGGAAAGCAATGCTCTTGCACAGTGTGTGTGAATGTGTGAGTTCAAGAAATACATTCCTGGGGCTAGAGAGATGGTTCAACAGTTAAGAGCACTGGCTGCTCTTCCAAATGACCTGGGTTCAGTTCCCAGTACCCACGTGGCAGCTCATGACTCCAGGTTCAGGGAATCCAACACCCTCACACAGATATACATGCAGGCAAAACACCAACACACATATAAATAAATAAAGTTTTAAAATTTAAAAAAAAAGGAAAGACATCCCCTCACATGTTCCTGAAGGCCAAGGGTGACCTGCAGAGTAGCAGAGAAGCCTCTGCGAGCCAGGAGGAAAGGCTGTCTGACTTCACCTCCTTGGGGATTGTGATTCTCACGATCAGGAGCGCCAGGGATTGGGATGTGTGTGGGCCTGTCCTGGGGCCTGCAGTCCATCAACTGCTTGAGACAGCACCTTGGCCTGACCACAGCTGGAAGGTCAGGCTCTTGCTGACCTACATCCTGAAGACCACACAAGGACAGAGTTGTTAGTGGCGTCAGGAATTGGGGCCAGGATTAATGGAGAGGCTGGGGCATACTCCTCTTGGCTGTTCAAAATGGCGCTCCTTCCGTGGCACGCTTGCAGCTTTGGCTTCGACAGCCTGTGGTGTCAGGACTGGTGATGTGCCGGCCAGCTGGCATAGAGCCCGTGTATTCCAGCGGGGAAGACAGCATAGTGGCATGGCTTAACCACAGTACCAGCACCAGAAATTAGGTTAGTTACAGACTGGCCTTAGGCAGTTGGGACTCACCCTGGGTTAGGAGCAGGAACCAGCAGTATAACAAGCCCACAGGAAGGTGAGACAAACGGAAAGAGGCAGGTGTGGTAACTGAGGGACAGACCTAACCACATGGCTGGAGGTGGCAGAGGCTGAATGAACCACTGTGTGATGCCCACCCTTTTGCCATGTAGTTGCCAAAGGAGAAGGATGCAGGAACCTACCAGTAGGCTACACAACCTCATAGTGATACACAGGTTAATAGAAATGGGTTAATTTAAGATGTAAGAGTTAGCTAGGAATATGCCCAAGCCATTGGCTAAACAGTGTTGTAATTAATATAGTTTCTGTGTGATTAATTGGGTCTGGGCAGCCAGGAATGAAAAAACAGTCTCCATTTACAGATAGCAGCAAAGTGGAAAGAGCGTGGTCTTCCTGTGGTCCATGATAACCCTACAACGTACAAACTGCATGCCCCAAACGCCCGAGGGCTTCACCCTCTTGCCCTCTTTATCTGCTGGCTGAGCAGAGACATAAAGGTGGCTGTGGTCACCTACGACTGTCACAGTCACTGAGTTTGCTCTCGGGTCTCTTCTCGCTTCCATTCTGTCAGCTTCCTACAGTGAAATTTCACTGCTATTGGAAGATACAAGAAGTTCTCGAAGGTAAAGTTTTTGATTTTTAAAATATTTTTAAAAAGAGAAAAAAAAAAAGAAAAAAAAAAAGAAGTTCTCGCCCCTTGACAGACAGAAAAGCCCATGGAGTCGTCGGGCTGGCCCTTTCTGAGAATACACAACTGTGTGTAAACGTCACTCATTCCTCTTTGTACTGCTGCTTACTGGATCTACCACCAACCACACTCTTCCCCTCTTCCAGTCCTTATCAAGACCCTAGGAGAGCTCACCAACAATTTCACCAACTAAGGACAAGCGTAACAGATGTCACCCTCTGAGCACAAAGCCTGGCATGTTGTGGCTGCTTATTAAAACACAAATAAGATCATAAACAGAAGCTGCCAATCCATGGGCTGCCTGGAACTCAAGTTTTCTTCCCTAGGAGAAGGGGAGCTGCTTACGCATGGGGCCAGGGCACTCGTGTCTACAACCTCAGCGAGGCTCCTAAGCAGAGAACACGGCAGCTTCCTGCACAGGGTGGTGACTCTGGGCCATGCCCAGGACAAGCAGGCCAACCCCTCTCAACTACAGGGTTCAACTCCTAACTAAGGGCTGCAAGATGGGGAAAAGATGCTGTCTCCCTGCAGGGGCAATGAAGCCCAAAGAGGATGACAGTGTGAGGACACGCAGGAATGCAGCAGCCAGGCTGGAAAGACCTCAGATGGTCAACTAAACCGGAGACAGGAGGGAGTTCACACCCCAGCAGGTCATAGGAGTGCAAGCCTGTAATCCCAGCATGGGGGAAGCTGAGACAGGAGGATCATCTTGAGTTTCAGGCTAGTCTGGTCTGTACAGTGAAAGGCCTCTTGAAGAACGTGAAAACCAAACAACAAAGGGGTCACACACCTGCTCTGCCCTTTACCAACCCCCAGGTTTCCTTCGCTGTGTCCCAACTTCCTCATGTGCCCTGGGAAGGAAATAACAGCCTCCCTACCGAGGTGTGTGCACATCAAACCCACAGCTTGCTGGGTACCTGGTGCACACGCACTAAGAACAATCAGTAGTCATAGTCTAGAGAATATGCATTTTCTTTTTTTTTTTTTCCCTTTCTTTTCTGGAATAAAAAACCAACCTCCTCCGACAATAACAGAGCCAAGCAGGAATTCAGCTGAAATAAAAACGGGAGCAGAAACCACTTCCTGTAGATGAGTATTTATGAAGCCAATTTCAGCTCTAAGAGCTAATGATTCCCCGATGGCGTCCGTCCCTGCAGCGGTCCTCCGAGTGAGACACGCTCTCCCCCTGAGTGCTCCTGGGGCTGTGCACACTCTTGAGCCGCCCCCCACCCAGCGCCATCCTAATCAGTGATAATCCTGCTAATGACGGGGAGAGGTGCGGGAGAGGGAAGCCGCAGGTGGAAGGATCTAACCCGCCAGCTACTTTGCTTCCTCCAGACAAACTTTTGCCTGAAACAGATGAATTCAATCTGCATATTAATGCGGATTACTAATTAATGACCAAAAAATGCTTTCAAGGCTGAAAGTGCAATGCGAGGGTTTTAAAAAAATCAGAACATCCGGGAGTCTCCGGTTAAGAAGGGGGAGGGAATAAGCCAGCCTCTCTTATTTTTTCTCTCATTTTTACCATTTCTAATTTAATGGTTGAGGGAAATGGCGGGCACAGGGGGATTCGTGTAAAGATAAGAAAGGGCAGCATGGTGGGAGGGGATGTCCTCTGTGTCCTCTGTGTCCCAGAGTGCTGGCAGCCCTGGTGTAGAGTTCGAGGTCACCCCAGGGTAAGGTCATGTCTTGGTCTCTACAGCTTCTGTGCCTGTACACAGACAGCAACCAATGGCGCGCGTGGTGACAGCTGAGGACAAGGGCAGCCCACAGCGACACTTCCAAAGGCTCCAATAGGAGAAAAGAAGTAGGAAACTCGGAAAGCCCTTGTCAGGGTAAAGGAAGGCGGCTACTAACAGCCCAAGCCCAGGAGGGGAACAGAGGGGAGGGAAATCTATAGATGCAGAGCCTGGGCCCCGGGCTCACAGAGATGGCAGGGGCAGGAACGGGGACTCACACCTCCCTCTGACTCTTCATTGAGAAATCTCCCTAGCAGGCTGGCACACCAGGGTGCTGAAGACATTTCAGCACCCCTTCTCATACACAGTGAGTATCCTGGCTTTTCTTTTAACTTGGCAACTTAAACCCTAGTACCTCTCCTTCTTTGAAGCCCTTCGTTTCTCCTGATCAAAACTCCTGTTTAACTTGGCTGCCAGGGACCTGGTGGGAGTCTAGCGACTGAGCTGGTGGAGGTGGCATGCAGCTCAACAGGGAAACTGGAAGCCCCCTAGCTGAGACAGTCTGCTGTGGGTTAGGTGCCTGGTCTAACCTGCACCCCTACTTCAGGGCTGTTTCTTTTCTTTCTTTCTTCCTATTTTGTTATGTGTACGAATGTTTTGATTGCATGTTTGCATGTGTGCCACATGCATGACTGGTATTTTCTGGGATTCGAAGAGGGCATCAGATCCCCTGGAACTGGAGCGAGAGGTGGCTGTGAGTCTCCATGTGGGTATGGAGAACAGAACCTGGATCCCCTGCAAGACTAGCAAGGGATCTTAACTACTGAGCCCTCGGTCTGGTCCCCAAAGTTCTTTCTGTCAACTAAGGAGTCAAGGAGCCAGACAGAGTCCGTTGAGGACTCTGGGGGAACTACCACCGGATTCCAGCTTCATCTCCAACACAAAAAAGTCAACCTAATATTCAGTGACAGATCTTTACAGCCTAGTCCACCCTGGCCACCTCCAAGCCGACAGCCCAGACCCGGCAGGTAAGGCCTGAGCCACACTGCCAACCTCCAGCTGAGGTGTGCAGAAAGGGGCACAGCTTGGCCTGCAGGGCCTGCCACACTCTGCCTGCCTGGCCCCATCCATCAGCCTGTGAATGCGGGGTGGGGAGGGTGTCTCATTTTCCAGCATGGCTTTAGGGACATTTTCTAAATGTGACCCTGTTTCTGTTATGAGACTCAAAGTGCTCCAGCCGCAAGATCATAAATACTCAAAAGTGACTGCTAATGGCTATGGCGGCTTGTAGGATGCCAAATGGCAGCGAAGAGTGGCGACCGTAAATTACATGCAGCTTCCCTCCTCCCTCTCCAGCTCACTGAGGTGTTTGGTGGGTTGGCAGTGGTAAGACGGGCTTTCCGGAGGATTTCGGGGGGCTTCCTGTGAACTCAGGAAGAGCTGTGCAAAGTCCTTCCAACAGACGCTAAAGGAAAACCGAAGACGACTGGGATTTCCATACGGAATCAATTTATTAAAGATACGTTTAATTAGCTGGGCAGAGTGGTACACTCAAGGATCGTCAAGGGTTGGAAGCCAGCCTGGACTACACTTCAAGACCTTGTCTTAGATGGAAATAAAGTGAGATGCCTCAGTAGGTAAGACCTTTGCCACACAGCTTTATGACCCGAGTTTGACCCCCAGACCCATGTATGAAAGTTAGTTTTAATTGCCAACTCCACATAATCTGAAATGGCTTGGGAAGAGTCTCAAAGAGGGACCGGCTAGATCAGGCTAGCCTGCAGGCATGTCTGCAGGCAATTTTCTTGTCTGCCTTAACTGACGTGGCAAGAGCCATCCTGAAAGTGGTGGCACTATTCCCTGGGTTTGGGGTCCTGGACTGGGTAAGAGGAGAGAAAGATGGCGGAGACCTAGCCATGTATGCACTCATCTCTCTCTACTCCTGACTGTGGGCGTGCTAAGACCGTGGCCTGGAGATCCTGCTGCTGTAACTCCCGCGCCGTGATGACTGTGAGCTGCCCTAGCTGCTTTCCGCCAGGGTGTGCTGTCGCTGGGAACGGGAAGGCCACGAGCACACCACGGAAAGGCAGGAGAAGACAACTCCACAAAGATGCCTCTGACCTTCACACGGCACCATGGCACCTGCACTCCCACAGACACACACCACACACAACAGTAAAAACTAAACAACACCAACAACTAAAACTTTTAAGGTTGTAGCCATGTTTACAATATAATTGCAAAAATACACAAAGTGGCCCAACAAAAATGAATAAATATACTTAGTACACAGAAGCAAATTTGTGTGAATGGAGAGGATGGGAACTAAGATTGGGATCAGGGGCTGGGGCTGTAGCTCAGTGGTAGAGCTCTTGCCTAGCATGCCAGAGGCCCAAGGTTCAATCCCCCAGTACTGCCTATAAGTAAATAAACAGATGCACTGGGTCAGGCACTGGGCTGGGCTCTGACCACGGATTATCTAGAGGAATGCCTGCGATCATTCCATGCGACAGATGCTGTGATTATCCTCATTTCATGCCTGAGAGGGTCACTTAAGTCATTTGTCCAGAGTCACAGATGGAGGGACAGTCTGGGGGTATGCACACAGCAGAGTCCAGGGTCTGGTTTATCTTGCTGGTCTCCCAGTCAAAGCAGACATATGAGAGAGAGAGAGAGAGAGAGAGAGAGAGAGAGAGAGAGAGAGAGAGAGAGAGAGAGAGAGAGAGAGAGAGAGAGAGAGAGAGAGAGAGAG